TTATAGCGTCGCCCACCGGTGGGCGACGTCGGGTCGAATGTGTTAAATATTTCGAGAAAGACATGCTTGTTTTCGTTGAAATTTTAAGAACTATTCGATGATTATCAATCGTGTCAATAGACATAATTTCAATAGGAAACTTTTTATTTTAAATCTTTTAGAAATATGTTGTTCTCAGTACTTAAAAGTTTCATTAAAATGGCCATAACTCTTCAATAATAGTCTCTGTGTTTCAATCATTTTAATTTCTTCTTAGTCTCACCGAGACCTACTTGTAGTCATAATGTGAAGTGCTATCGTATCTGACAGTTGGAAATATTGCCTCGTAAGAAGATTTCAGCTCTTATTGAAACCTGGCGTAGCTATTGGATTTTTAATATTTCTATATGTCAGAGACTTCTGTAAGACCCCGCGTCTTCTGAAAAATCGTGCCTTTGAATTTTTTTCCTCAAACGATCTCTATTTGGAATTTTCATATACATTAGCTTGTATGAAATATTCGAACGTTTGTTGATTTCGCATTTTCGAGATACAAGCTTTTTAAAAACAGAAGCTTTTCGAAGCATATTGCAAGATACGAAATATACAAACTCTGAAACTCTTCATACAAGATGCTCTATATGAGATCTTCAAATTGAGATAGCTTCAAGACAAAATTTAAAAACACGATTTCTCTAGCAACCAGAAGCCCTACAATGGTCTCTGGCAAACAGAAATTTTAAAAACTTAGTAGCTTCCCCCCTCCAAATCTCAATAGAAAATGAAATTCTTTCGAATTTTCCACAAGAATACTATGTAGTATCTATAGGCAAAAAATAATCACTGAAATCGATAGGAAACATCTGAAAAAATTTCCTCATAACACGAATCACTTCAACGTCACTTTTCGTAGATCAAAGTATCTGTTTGAGTTGAAGTGTCGCATCTCTGTACAGAGTAAGATGGTTTCTATACACAGTGATCTAGGGAATATTTAGTATAATGGAAATATCTATATCAATACGTCAATATTTCTTTAATATCATTTTAAAATTACACCATCTAAACTTCATTTTGCCAAAAATATTTTTTATTTTAGCATTTATGAAGCTGTATCAATAATGGATTTGTCTGTCTTCATTATTGTAAAGTCATCATATACTAAAGTTAAAAGTTTCTCATAAAAAAATAAATAATCATGATTGCTCTATAAAATTGCAAAATGATTATATTTGTATTAGCTTCTCAGAAAGCATTTGGTTTGTAAATGGTAACGAGATTGAGCTTACACTTGTACTCCTGTCCTAAATCCTTGATTTTAGGTCCAAAAGCTCGAGGAATAGAGGCATATCTAGATAGAAATGGATATTATCTAGATACTTTAGCTTATTTCATAGACTTGCTAGAGTTGCTAATTTGTAAATGGTGAGGATTTCTTAAAAAGAAAACGAAAAAGATATTATTAATCTATAGTAATTCTAAGAAAAGACTAGGAATTAACTTTCGGAAAATATATTTTTTATAAGTGGAAGTGTACTTGACTTACACGTTGAAGTATTGATCGAAAGAGAGAAACACGCATGCGAAGTGTCTGCCGTTTCGCACTAATGTTCCAGATAAAACCTTCAAGCAAGCCAGCCAAAAATTCGACAGCACCAATAACTACAGTGACAGAGAAAATAAGACAATTTGCATTATTTGTAATAATCAAATTCGTGCGTTCATTTCACTTACTGAATAACCAATAAACCATGTTCATAATTTTTTCTCGAAATAAAGGCATTGACGTTGCTAAGGTTGATGATAAAATTACACCCATCGTATGGCGCAATCTAAGATGAAAAATACCACGGGAAAATAACAGAATTACATGTGAAATAATAATAGGTTTTAGTAAATCACTTATATGACGAATTATTGTTGAACATATTGAGTTCTATAGCTTGAGAGTACGTATTATTGTTCTTCATTAAAGTTGTCGAATTTTGGTGTTGATAATCACAATTATCACCAAATGCTTCAGTAACAAAAATTCCTGTGAGTCGACCAAAAATAACTGGAATAACGAGAGCGCAAATCGTGTCCATCACCGCTAAACACGCAGCAATAAACATCAGGACAAAATCTATACTATTTGCAAACTGAAACTACAATGAAATCGAATATATCAGTGAGTTTGTATTTCGTATGAATACGCTTACTAAACGGAAAACACCAACTACTTCATCTTTGTCACTATGTTCAACATCATCATCTAATTTTATATATTTGTTATCTTTCCATTTTCTACTGAAACATCGGCACCAATCAAAAAAACTATAATAAATGATAAATTCATCGTATTTTTCTTACAGTCAATCGTTCATTGGATCATACCTATTGGTCAAAAGTTGTTTCTTGCTTCCATTATCATCATCATCAATAGAGAATTTACTGAATGCGTTTAGCAGAGGTTGTTTATCATCCATTTAATATTTTTATCGATAAGACTATTATGAACAACACTCAAGGACAACCATGTGCAAATATGTGCATAAAAAAATGAGTCGTTATCATTACTTGCATACTAATCTGTTTCTTTTCTTTTTTTTTGTTTCTATTCGTGAAACGAAAAGGTTTGTGCAACCAAGCGATTATCGAATCACGATAAACATAAATGCAAGTCGATGTCATTAATTTTTTCTAGGACTATTGAAAGATAGAGACATCTATATGATACTCATCTGCTCATACTGTGAAGAAAAAGGAGTAGAATACTAAACTCTTTGAGGGTAATATGAAAACCATATATCCTTAAAGGGTTTCTAATACGTTGCTCACTTTACACCAACCTAAAAAAGAGAAATGCATAAATTTATTCAAAGAATAAAACTTACCATTTATTTGCTTATCTGATAAATCTAAATAAAAAAAAGGGTGTGGGTGTGAGTGTAAGTGTCAGTGGAAAGAAAAGCACCCACACCCATAACCACGTTAGTAGTTTCTTTTCATTTTCTTCTAGTGTTTCTATCATATTAATCATTCACATTACCTGACATCATCATCGAACGTTGGATTTCATATGGACCACAAGCTAGACGACGTACCATTGTTCAACGTGCTGCTACTGTTCGACCATATCCAGCTCCACGCAATATTATTATCCAATACGAAACAGCTCCAGTTCGCATTGTCCATCAATTCCATCGTCTTGGTGTTGTCCAAGCTAATTCAGCTGTTTACATTCAAACATACAGCGCTACTCTTCTTGATGCTGCTTCACTTGTTGCACAAGCTCGTGCTGCTGGTGTTGTTGAAAATATCGTATGTTGGTCATAATATTCTTGGTTTTTTGTT